CAAGACCTCCAATACAGCATTCTAAGCTTTCCTAAAGGTTGTAGGTGGTTTAAAACTCTAAGTCTCTTCTATATATGGTAACACAATGGGCGAATAGGCCGAAGTGGATCCTCTAGGGATTGCCGGTATAACATAACCTAACCGAATCAAATAAAATAGTTGGAGACATGTCAAGATAAAAATTTATTTTCGGCAAGCATGTAGAGATAAAAAAAAACAAATATAAATTAAATCGAAACTAATTTCATTGCATTAATTAAGTTCTCATACAAATTATCACTGGAATACAAGGTTCTACTGATTAGCTCGATAATAAAATTTGCACAGAGAGAGTTATGGCATCCAAACGTGTGGATGAATGTCGTTTTATAATCGTTTTATAATATGCCTAATTTCACAGAGATTTGGGGTCATCGGTAATAGTAAAAGCGCAATGTAGTCGACAATACCGATTAAAATCAGAAGAATAGCCTATTAAATCAGTATACAAAGATTTAGTACGTAAAAGCCACTTGCATGTCAATAAGAAACTTATAATTGGGATGTATTAAAAGTTTAGATTAAATTAAAGATATATTATTTTTTTGTCTTGAAGGATTTGAGTTGGTTATTGTTGCTTTCAGTATGTAGGAAGGTACACAAAATGTAATCTTTACCCATTTATCTTTTGGCCCCCATAATTAAAAAATCGGACTTAGAGAAACATTCTAACCCGATAAAGAGGCACTGCGACCTAGGTCTTTTAGGTCGCAGTGCGCTACCCCTTTTCAAATAATAATAATAATAATCAATAAGATAAGTAAGCAAATAGTTTAATATATTATAAAGATAAAGTGTTAAATTACCACAGTTAGGATTAATAAATTTTATTTCTATTTTGTCAAGCCATACTTCATTGATGAGGCCTTTAGTTTATGTCTTCGGTGCCAGATATGTTAATAGTTATATTATAAATATATTATAACAAGTCAACAATTCTTAAAAAGTATATCCAATGTACTGTATAGTTAGTAGTACAAATATTATTAAGACACAATAGCAGAAAGTTGTCTACACATATTTAATTTTAAAGACCTCCTCTTTTTAGTATAGAAAGTAAACGTAATATCGGCCTAATTTTTATATACTATAAGTACAAGACTTTCGTAAATAATATTATTGTTAACAAAATATAATAATTTAACCTAAAATTATTTTAGTTATGAAGCAATTTGTAACATTTATCTCAAACCTATAAAAACTGGTAACCTGTTTACGAATGAACACTTTGATACTAGGAATTGAAATAAGATACTGTTGTTTATAATATAATAATATACATCTGTTTTGCATGTCGATTTTTTCATGTATTTATGTGTTATGGTGTCATGTCATTATATATGATCAGATGAGATAATATCTACTCTTGTATATAACATAATAATCTAATCAGTGTAAACGCCCAGAAATAAAGGGGTATGTCTGATACCAGAACTATTAAAGAGGATAAATAAAAAACCTTTAATTAATATTTATAATAGAATTATGATTAAAAGAAAAACCAATATTGCAAAAAATATTTAATTTTACATACTATAAGTCAGCGATTCAAATGTTAATCGAGTTGTTGTCATGAGAGTCAGTCACTTGCTTCATCGAAGTAGGATGTCGTACAGAAGATTTAAATTTTTGTGAAAGACTATAGGATTCAATGACAAGACTTCTTTTCAAGTATGTCATAAGAACAAAGTTTATGTGCCATTTTGAGTAGAGTCTCGAAAATTAAATCCGATGAACATCTATTGAGCGAAAGAAGAAGATGCAAACCGTTATGGAAGAAAGATGTCAAGACTAACAATGACAAGACTTGTTTCCAAAAACATCAAAAGATATTCTTATTTCTGCGAAAGAAAGATATGCAAACCGTTATCGAAGTAACATCTCAGGACTGACAATAACAAAACTTCTTTCCAGTACCATTGTGAGTTATCTGAAATTCTAGAGTCTGCCTTGAAAATTATTAACCAGATGAACACCTTAATTGTATATGTCTATAGAACTATTAACCACAAAATAAGTGAAAAAAGAATTTGTGAATGTATTAGGTTAGGTTAGGTTAAGTTACTGTGACCGTCCGAAGACTCACTTAAACCATTGTGATACCCTAAAGAATTTGACACCTGTCCCTATAACCATTTGATACTGGCCACAAAGCCAGTGACACAAGCTATGGAAATAGAATCTAGCTCTCTTAGTGAATTGAAAAAGTGTGATCCTAAGTAGGAGAGTCTATGTCTTGCGAAAGCAGGACACTGTAGCAGAAGGTGTATTAGTGATTCCTCTTCATCATCCTCCATGCAATGTCTACAATGTAAGAAGGTCCTGATATTGAGCCTCACGGCATGTCCTCGCAACGAGCAATGTCCCGAAATTATTCGCACTACCTTGGATATATTTGCTCGGGATAGGTTGATTAATTCCCGCGATCTTTTCTTGCTAATTTCTATTTACTAATTACTAATTTCAATTGGTCAATGTTGACAATCATCTTTAAAACATTTGGTATGTCCATAATTTTGTTCGATGCCGACAAGAAGCAAGTGGTATGTATTTCTGTGCATGTATTACTCAATACTTCTTTTCAAACGCTTTTTAAACGCAATTTTGACTAAATTGTCCCTGAGGACATTGTCGTTATGACCCCTAGTGGACAGTATCCGCATCACTCACTAATTAAACGAACAACGAAGCAAACTGAAAATAAGTAAATAAAATAACACTAACTTGGCGTTTTATTTTTATAATAACTTATTATGATAGAATAGTTTATCAATCGACAAAGTGGCACGGACAGCTAATATTTGAGATTGCCAAATACTAAAAACTCGGCAATTACACTAAGTAATAACTATTAAAAAACTATTATTTATTATTTTCAAATTTTATTTATATAATAAAATTTATATCTATGAGTAAAAAATGAGAGTCTAACCAAACTCTAACTAATATACACACGAGTTAAGAGTACTTACATTTATATATATGCAAAGACTATAGAAGATATTGCGTGTATGAGATTTTTAAAGACCGACAAACATTTGCTTAGATAACTCTTAAGGTATTTATTTATGTATTAAAGAGTTTTTCGATATAGGATCGATCCGTTTCTAATTGGGCACCTTGAAAATAGTAAGATATTAAAATTCTCAAAGTCAACTAAACCGGCAATAATCTACAAAATTACTCTAGAACTGCACTACAGCACTTATTTTAAAGGATCTCCGAAATCTGATTTAGTTTGTTGCAAACGCTTTGATATATATAATATCCATTTTTCACAGTATTTAAGTAAAGAGCCTACAATTTTAAAAATTAATAAATTAAATCATACAAGCATACAAACATTTACATTTAAAATGGTTTTAGGTCCTGAAAAGGAGACAGCTAACATTTTTTTATGAAAGAGTAGCAATGGAATTGTTCTAAATTGTTTAAGGTTCTTACACCTTTTACATTGAATTCTACAATTAAAATAGATTTAGGTTCTGAAGAGGAGATAGAGATTAGTTTCTCAACAAAATTTTAATAGAATTCTCTCCAATTTTTTAAAGGCTCTTAGGGTTGTGCATTTAATTCTGGAGAGAAGACAGCTAATAGTTTTTCTTATCAAAGTGTAAAAATAGAATTTTCTCCAATTTTTTAAAGATCATAGCATTAAACATTTAATTTTTATTTTAAAATTGATTCAAGTTCTGGTTAGGAGATAACTATTAGTTTTATTTTCAAAAAATTGACAGTAGAATTGTCTCTAATTGTTTTAACCTCTAAGTGTGGTGCCTATAATTCTGCATTTTAAATGGATTTAGGTTCTGAAGAGCAGAAAGCTTATAGTTTTCTATCAAAGAGTTTCAAACGAATTCTCTACAATTTTTTAAGGCTCTTAGAGTTCTCTTAGAGTTGTAAATTTAATTTTACATTTAAAATGGATTCAGGTTCTGAAGAGGAGATAGAGAATAGTTTCTTAGCAAACAATTTCAATAGAATTCTCCCCAATTTTCTAAGGCTCAGCGTTGTGCATTTAATTCTTCATTTAAAGTTCATGTCCTGGAGAGGAGATAATTAATAGTTTTTTTTATCAAGGAGTAACAATGCAATTCTCTCCAATTTTTTAAGGCTGTCAACGTTGAGCATATAGTTTTTTATCAAAGAGTAACAATAGAATTCTCTTCAATTTTTTAAGCTCTCAGAGTGGTGCTTAGAATTTTCCACTTAAAATGAATTAAAGTCCTGGAGACGAGATAGCTGAAAGTTTTCTGTTAAAGAATAGCAATAGACTTCTCTCCAACTTTTTAAGGGTCTTAGCATTGTACATAGAATGAATATAGTAAAATCTATTTAAAGAGAACAAAGCTAAGTTGCTTTTTAAAATATATTGAACACATCATTTTCGCTTGAATATGGCACAGCATCCAAATAAGCAAACGTACTGACCTCTGACGTATAAGTTCAGAACGGTCAGCACTGTAATCGAAAAATGGAAATAAAAATAAAAAAAAAAAACGCTCAAACTAAAACTTCATTTCTCCCTTATAAAGCCAAGCCATGTTGACGAGAGTGTAAACAACCGTATGTCGGTGTTTCTACGTATCTATGTTGCTAGATTCCGCATTTTTATAGAGCGAACACACAACTCAACATTATTGATTTGACAAAAAAAAAAAAAAAAAGTGAAAGATACAAAAAAAAAAAAAAAAAAAAATAAAATAAAATAAAGCGTGCTGGACATGTTCACACTTACGGAAAGATATAAACAATGTCAGGCTCGTAAATCGGCCCATGGAACGGCATATTTCGTATGTTTTTAATTAAATTAAACGATTATAGATACACACGTTCGTGTATGAATGAATGTACACTCACCGATACCGAGTGTGCGATATCAAAGTGAGATCAATTACAATATAAAATATCATATGTCAATACAAATGCTTAGCATTTTATGTTCGTACGGTCGTGAGAAACGTACTCGCCACCAAAATTACTCAGCCATAGATTTTGACGAAGTTGCAGTGGCAGCTGAAACGCACCCTTTGCGAAAAGTCTTTCATAGTTGTGGCGGTGCTACTGAAGCGGTAGTACTCAATTGGCTCAATAGATACAAATTCTAAATTCGCTTTGATGTGATAGTAAATCGTCGATGTTGAAAAAAATTTGGTTGTTTCGATTCGGTTTGTAATTTTTTGTGAAAATCGAAAGTGAAATTGATTTGAAGTGAAGAGTGTGTTTTGAAATCGATCCTGATTAGTGAATTTGATCCAAAATAATTTTTAAGAGTGAAAAACGTGTCAAAATGAAGATCTTTAAAAGTTGTATGAAATCATTTGCAAAGGAGTTTAAATGGAAAAACTTTGGCTTTGAATATAATCAACTGGAGCACTTCTATCGTTCAAAGGTATAGACGATCTATGAAAATGAAATGCAATCCGTAAAGATATATCGGTCAAATAGACATGAAAAATAATTTTGTATTAAGTGATACCTTAGATTTTGGGCAAAAAAATATGTGGTGTATTAATGAATTCAAGAAAGATATAACTTTAGATAATATATATCTTTATATAAGATATAACATTAATAGTTAACAATAAGATATGTGAATGTGAATATTAAAGTAATTGCAATACTAGGAAAAAGCGATTCCTTTTTTTTTTAAATTGCTTTTGAGAAAAAATTAAAATATTTTCAAAAATATTTTAAAATATTTAAAACTGTTTTTTAAATTAAAAAAATAGGAAGTATTAATAAGAAAGACATATAACATAAAATATCAAATATATATTAACATATATTAACTTCGGAATAATAATGAAAAGTTGTGATTATATTAAAATACTCGTATTACAAAATGTCCTTCTTCACATTTATTAGAAACTGTAATGAAAAAATGAATTTATAATGCTTCTTCTTAAAACACACCACAAAAGGTTTAATGATAGCAGTGATCCGTTCCAAATGAGACCCGAACTCCGCATTTTATACTAATTCACCTCGACTCACATCAAATATTAGATTTAAGTTTCTTTTCTACCGACTCACATCTGTATATTCTAAGGATGTTCTGTAACGGTCTGATGATTCTAATTTATCTCAGTATAGTTAATATTGTGTGTGTAGTGTTACTATAGTTGAGTTGTGTATAGTCTTACTTTGTAACTCTATGTTAAAACTTTAGCATAATTTTTGGTATTGAGGAAAAACTACACCATCTAAGTGGTGAAGCTTTTCATTTTTAAAAGTAGCTCATTTACAAAAAATAAGCTTCGAGCTTTCAAACTAAATTTTATAAAATTAACAGACATTAGTGTTGGAAAAGCCTAACTTATAGCAATGATACTTTAGATTTTAGTGACCCTTAAGTTATATAGATCAAATATGTGGTTCCGGAAAATAAATAACAGGGAATATTTGTTGTTTGGCGAAGAATTTATTTGCCAGTCAATAATCTACACCAGGGCTGTCTAAACTAGATGCAATCGCGGGTCAATACAAATCATTGTATAGATTGGGGGACTGAAGAAACAAATACTTACGTTTATAGTTGTTTTCGACAAAAATAAAAATACGTTTATAATGTTAAATTAAGTTTTATTTATTTATTAATTGCAATTCATTTATTTGGTAAACGAAAATTTGCGTAATTGTAGCAGATTAAAAACAATCGCGGGCCGCACAAACATTAGCCGCGGTTCATATGCGGCCCGCAAGCCGCGCTTTGGACTACACTATTAAGCCCAAAAGATAATTTTTTTTGGGTTGATACTTTTTTTCAATTTTTTGTTAACGTCTTTTGCGTGATGTTTTGAAAGTTACAGAAGCAGTAAGGATCAGTTAAAGATATATTTATTTTCGTTTGTTTTATATTGGACCCAGACAAAAATTTCGTAGAGTATTTTTTGCAACTTTCATACAAATCAACTATTCTAAATGTGTAAATAATAGAAAATATGTTTTCAAAAACTTTTTAAGTAAATCGTTTATAAATGGCCTCACTTCTGATCCATTTCATGCTTACGAAATAACATAGCAATAACTTCATAGCAACTTCAAATCCTGTGAACCTGAATAGTACACACAGTGAATGCCTTTCACACTGCAAGACCTAGATTATAATCTAGATAATGAATGGTGTGCATTTTTACAAATATTACACTTTCCATTTTTCAGTCACTCCTCAATACAAGTCTTTGTCAAGTTTGCGTCCAACCACAATAATAATAATCTAAGGAATAAATATGTGAATGCATACATATTAACACCAAATCGTTAATGCGTTTGTTGTGTGTACACAGGCTATGAGAACTGTCAGATTTAATTTGTTGATCAAAATTGAGAGATACAAATACAGGGATGTGATTAAATTATATGATACTGTTCGGAAGAAACGGCATCTTGAGAACTTAAGACTCGAATGGAACGAAATACCCCGGTAGTGAAAGGTGAATGTCTAGTCTTCTAAATGTGCAAAGTGTATTCAAAAACGAGCTTTAAGTGAAGATTGACAAAGAAAAACTAAGCTGCATAAAGCAAAGAAGAGTTCCGCTTGTTTTAAAAGGATCAATTGCCAAATACAATCTCTTAAGAAAAAAATTTCCTGATTGAACAATTTGTATATAAACAGAATCTTAACAGAGAGATAAACGTTTTCTAATATGGTTCACATTCATGTTGTTCATGATAGTCAATTGGTAGAAAGACATATGACTACGAACACCTCGGTTGATGATTGATTGTATTATATAGGTCGACCTATATAATATATATGTTATGAATGACTCCTACTTATTACCTGCTCTTTAAAGTATGTAAGAGTAACGTGAACTGGCGCTCTTAGGGAGATGTTTATAGAAGCATGTGGATGAGCTTTTTCATACCGTTCAACATTCCTCTGACCGGGACCCTAGTTAAGAATCTAAACATGTATTTTCATTTTGCATCATTAATCCCTATACACACATATGTTTTTTTATTGAAACAGTATTTTCTTATATATTATGCCCCACTGCAGTGACTAATCAGATCTGGCTATGTGTTCTCGTTAAGTGACTATATAGGTATATTTCAAATATTGATATAAAATTGTTATTGCTTGTAAGTTTTTTTTATTAAAGCGTCTTTGAACTAAACTAGCTAAATATACTAGTCAGTACTTCTGCCTGCAGAAATGGCTTCAAGTATATATATTTTTTAATTAATTTCTATTCTGTTATACACAGTAAAGCGTCTTGGTATTATTATGCAAGATTTGCTACGAAGCAGAAAAAGAGAATGCTTAAATAATGTAAATTATTTCTCAAAACTATTTAAAAATATTGATATCATATCAAGGGCAACATTATAGACTTTTGCAATTAACATTCGATTCTTAATTTAAAACAGGCTTCCTTTGAGGCAGTATTAACGTATAAATAGTTTTCTTCTTGATTTGCTATTTATACCAAATATTCTGCAACTAAAGATTGTTTATGCTAGAAGAAATGCTAAATATATATTCTTAGCCTTTTTTATGTGTTACACGAGTCCCCTCTACTTTGGAGAACTTAGTTTCATTTCGCGAATCTCTCCACTCCAGTCGTAAAAGTTCAAATTAAATCAACTTTTTGAACTATTTTCATTCATTAAAATTGGTTTAGTGTTTTTATGTTAACAACAGATAACATTCGAGTATCTGAAAGAAACGTGACGGAGTTTTTTACACATAAAATTATTAAGTAAATAAACATCGAAAGTCATAAACTGAAGAATCTGTCTAGCTATTAAAGTCGGCTTGTGCTAATCAACAGAAACTTGGCCGTGAAATTAATCGGAACGAATTTTATGCACTATAAACTAAATACGCGTAAACGAAAGATGTCTAAATAGTTAACGATACATAAAAGATGTTTTTTACTTATTAATTATTAATTAATAATTAATAATAACATAATAACATAGTTGTGTGTTGCTTCTACGTCATTATCAATACAAAGATCTCAGAAAATTAAAATTGAAAATCTCAACCATGAATTAAGTTAATAAATACTATATTCTGACGTAATACTAATCAGTACAAAACTCAGTACTAATAATAGATCACGTCTATTGAAAGATGCAGCATCTGCTTGAAATCTAAACAAATATGTAGCTATCTTATCACTTACTTTAAAACAAAACATTTGGTAAAAGTTCTTGAGATATTACATATACACGTCAGATTATGACTACTATATATGTTATAAAATAGACTATTTAAACAAAGGCACAATTATTACCCAAATAAAAGACAATCTTATACAATACAACACTCTAAAGAGCTAATGATTATTTGGATCTTTGCTTATGTAGATATTAGGGGGTACCAGATTAAACAGATAGATGGAGCAGAAAACTTATCACTTAAGCGATCCGTCAAGGAAGTGAGTAAAAAAGATCTGTAATGGTTTTATATTAATAATTTTTTAAAAATAAAGCGAAGAATGGATCTGGTATAAAACCACATTATGTAAGCTTCAATATAATAAGTTTGAAACCAAAAATACCCAAAAAATATTGCACAGACGCTATTAGAACTTGGGATCGATTTCGTTTTTAGTACAAAAACTGCACACGCCGACACTTATTAGGTTGAGAGAATAAAGATTTATGTCCTTTTTATAGCTCTACTGTTAGATTAATAACTCATATATTATAGAGCTATCCAGAAACAAGAATTGTACATTTTCTTTATGATAACATTAGCTCAAATTATTGCGTAAAATATCAAATATTACAGATCCATAAAAAAATTACACGGCCTTCTGCGTACAATGATATGACGCACATCTTATGTAATATACAGATTATAAGAGATATATCCATAGATGCAGTAATGTAATCTTAATGAACTTTTATTACCTAGAATAAAATTGTTGTGGTGCGTACAAAAGAGCTAATTGTTAGGCTAACGTGAATTTAGTTGGTATTTTTTTAAAATAGAATAAAATTAAGAAATCTCTTGAAGATATCAAAAAAACCTATTATTATTTAATATTAAGTAATAGTAGATAATCTAATTATAATGCCATCAGTGCAGAGTATTTTTAGCACGATATTCCAGAAGAATCGTAAAAATAATATATAAAAAGTATGCCTTCCTATTAAGGTGAACTTTTTTAGAAACCAGTTTTCGGTTTCCGGTTTCCTTTTGTATAATGGAAGCCAGTATTTAATTTACAGTTAAAAAAACCGGTTTAACAATAATTAGTTAAAAACAGCTGCCATATACAGCCATCTTTGCTATAAAATTTGTTTTCATCACTGTTTTTGCTATCATATACATAAAAGCGATGGTTTCTAATTCTGTGAAAACAATGGGTGTAAATATATTAGTTCATTTCATTTCGTTGATAATGATATATCTTCATCTTGGAAATCAAAACCAAAAACACGTTTTTTGCTTATCAAACTGAATTAATTTGCTATTAAAATGCACTCAAACTCTCTTGACGATATAAAAATTTTGATAAGAACTATAAGTCCCATATATAAATAAATTTATAAATACTATTGGACTGCCCTCTATTAATTGCTTTAAGAGTAATGTAAACTGGCATCCCTGGAGATATATCTATAGAAGGTAGATGTGTTAGGCAAGCGAGTTCATGGGTGACAAGCGAGTTCAAGTTCTTAAAGTTCTCCACCAATCTCCACCAATTTAATAAGTTTAATATTTTAGCAGTCATTTCATTCGGTCTTCCTGCAATTTAATTGTAGTTCACTCTGGTTGGTATCAAGATTTTGTGATAGTCTTATTGAAAAAGTATATCGGAAGATATATAAGATTCCCAAAACGAATAGTTGAAGGATGATTCACATGAAGATTAGGGGAATGTAAGTTATTTTAATCAGAGTTTTAAATTTACTTTAGAAATTAGTTTGAATTACGAACTATGTTTTTCACGTTTTCTTCTTATACATTTATTGTAGACTTATGGGTGCTTTTCGTCATACAATTGTCAGATAAAATAAGAAATGCTATGAATTGATTTAGATCAGGGCTGTCCAAAGTATAGCCCGCGGGCCACATGCGGCTCGCGGCTTATGTTTGTGCGGCCCGCGGTATGTTCTTATCTACTGGTAAAACTACATGATTTTATTTTTATGGTATATCAAATAAATAAATTGAAATAGATAAAATAAAATTAAATTTAACATTATAACCGTATCTATAATATTATAATGTATTTATAATAACAACTATGAACGTATGTATTTGTTTCTGCAACTCTCCAATCTGTGCAGTAATTTGTATTGGCCCGCGATTCCAACTGGTCTGGACAGCCCTGATTTAGATAATGATATAACATACAAAAAACAAAGTGATCTTAGGAATAATCTTAGGAATTCTATTGACGTTAACTTTTCGACCATTACTTTTAAGATTTTGTTATATCTCACGGAAAATCATGATCCATTGAATACTGGATTACTGGATAATGTGATATGTTCATTATGATATGATGTGATACTATATTACGTGACATAATTTTATGTGATGTGATATGATATTGTATCGAAATTTTGTTTCAGTTTCAGTTTTTTTGATTTGATTTAAATATTATTTGATATATAATTTTAATATTTCAGTTACGTATTTTTAAATATTAACCTAATTTAAACTGATGAATTCACTGAAAACTAATAAAACGAAAAGTTGAGGAATAATAAAAGATATTTAGCGACGGCTCTCATCAATGAATGAATTAAAAACTAAAAATAGTATTTTCAAGTTCAAGAATTTTATGCTGTAATTGTTATTAGGAATTTAATTTTAATTAATTATATAGCTAATGACTTAGCAAAACAATTAACACAAATACCAAAATAAAAAATGAACAAGTTCTATGCGGACATTTAAACGATCGTCTACTTGAAGTGTCAATGACCCAACTGCTAAGATCAGATATGTGTGTTTCAGAAAATCTACAATGGATGGCAGTAATTTATGCAGAATTTTGGCAAACTGTACAAAACCCTAAACAAAATTAAATATTGTAAATATAGGTCAATGAGTATTTTGGATAAAAAACATAGTCTAAATGTCTATATGCACATTTATTACTCTGAATGAAAAAATATATATTAGAACATACCATATTCATATTAAATTTCAATGTATATAATAGAGTATATCATGTATATATTTAATTGTAATGTATCTAAACCACGCATTTATTTGTTTCCGCGGTATTCGCAGATACAATCTAGCTCCATTGATTCTTACTTATCACATAAAGAAATTAATCTTATTGAGCTGCTTTTGATCGACTGTTGGCAAACATAGTAACAGCCTTAGTAACCAGTCTAGTCATTATATTCCTTTGAGACGTCAGTGATATTAGTGGAAAGAGATAAGTGTGAGGACATTTAAAATACTTTTGTGAATGTTTGTTGTACTTGCTTAGATTAATTAATAGACTCATTTATTCGATCAGAGTGCCCCGTGTCGTTGCTAACAATACAACTACACTAAAATTGGAAATAATATTAATTTTATAAACGAACTTTAGTAATCAAGTTTTCGTTAAATATATTCAAACTATTTAATATTTTAAAGAATCGTTTTCTTTTCATATTGCAATGCTTCATCAACGTATAAAACTGTTTTATTTACATTATTTTAATATATCAAAAGTTCTTTCATAGAAACTTTCTTTCATAGTAATTAATTAACTAATGATTGTGATGTCATAACACGTTGGTTAGTATTTCGTGAAGTATGGGACATTAAAACGGTAGAACAATTTTTTTGACAATATATCTTCAACTAAAAATCTTTAACATATGTCTTATATATAACCATACACCGAACCATAAATAATTCCATTACAATAAGAATATTTTAAATAAGCATATTTTACTATAAGAATACAATAAGATATACAATAATACCATATACAATAATACAATAAGAGTATTTCTACACTATATAACTATTTATAAAAAAACTAACGAGTAGTTACTATATACCATCATAGGTATATTTTTATTAAAAGATTTTTTAAGCCTCTACTTCAACTTCAGTAACAATCAGATCATGTGGCTTCTTTTGAAAAAAGCAACTGAATAGGCCTGTGGTCTTGAGAAGCCTACCAACTTCTTCGTTTATTTGCGTTGGAACCGCTTAGAATGAGCTTATGCTTATTATTATTTTGCACTTGGATTATATCGATATTACTCTGGGTGGCATAGCTCGAAATTCATACACCATGAGATCATATTGGCTTCAAAATTTGCTTATATATTATTATTTTATTATAAACGGAGAGTTCTGATCTTCACCCGAAAAGTCAGTGTATTTTCTAAAAGAATACATTTTGAATAATAAAAATAAAGATTTTAGTGCATTCATACTGAACTCGATCATTTTGTATTTCATAAGTTTTCACGTACGTAGACTACCTTTTGTGTTCCAAAGGTCGACATTTTCTAGCAGAAATGTCATTATAACGTTTAAGTTTTGCGAGCTTTCACCAAAAAAGAATGCACATTTAGCTGTCAAAAAGATTTGTTTCCGTAGGATCCACTATAATTTGACAATCGCTCAAAAGAAGGTATGTGTTTATTGATGTAAGGAAATGCTTAAAGAATACGCCCGAGGTAGCTGAAAATGCGTCGCTAATATAGATAACGACGAATTATGATCTACGCTAATAAGCTCGAAACAGAACTGCATGACTCTGTTTGAATCTTCCAAAGTGAGCTGAACCCAACAAAAGTTGTCCACGGATGGAGCAAATTCAAGCAAATGGTCACATGTTTTTTCTAAAGAATCGGTTAAGTCGCAACAAAACCGCTTAAGGAATTAAGAGCAGTCAATTCTAACTGGTACACAAGTATTTCTCTGTCAGAAGTTTTTAAAGAGTTGAAGAAAACCAACCGTCGAAGAAAGATCATCCTTTACTAAAACAAAATGAGAGCTACAACACATCAATTTAAACAAAAGATTTCTTAAATTGATGGGTGTTTTGCCTTACAGTTCCGACTTCGCGCCCAATGACATTTCTTTTTGTTTCCAAATATTTAGAAAAAAATGCGTGACGAGCGTTTTGACTTGATCTGTCTGGTTTAAGAAAAAGCACCTGTGAGTTTATTTGATTAGCTCTTATACTGGGAGACTAGCTTGTCAACATCGCACTGATCAATAGTATAGGCTAAGTTATACGACTCTTCCATTGGTTGAACGGAATGAAAATTTGTAATGATTTTTAAAAATTCTATTTAAATTGCAATAAAACTTAAAATTAATAAAGTTCTTAAATATAAGTTCTCTATAGTAAACTTATGAATAATATAAATAGATATTGAATTAAAATTTTCAAAAATATTAATTCGATTTTTTATTATAAATAAATTTAATTTATCCAAAATATTTTTAAAACCTTTTTTTAAAAATAAATACAAATGTTTTTTTTTTTTACAGTGGCAATCGAATGAATGTAGCATTTTGTATCTAATTTATCGTTGGATTTGCTCATTATTCTTTATTGGTCTCTTCACATCTTGTTTGGTTTTGCAATTCTCGGATGGGAAAATTTTTATCTTCTTGACAAACTGGGGTATTATACTATGTCTCTTCACGCAACTGACTGCCGCTCTATTGGTAACCTGCTGGCATTTCGATTTGGGTGAGATACGCGCAACCATTTACGATCATGACGCGAAAGCCATTACCGGAGTAGCAAACTCCATGCGAACACCAACCATCGTTAAAATTTATTGGCTATTGCATGGCGTTGCGCTATTACTGGCACTGGTCATTACAACTGTTTACTGGATTTTTTTGCATGGAAAAATGAGTGAGTTGTCGGTTAAGTAGTTTCTTCCAAAATAACTACCTATATTCTAATTAAGATTTTATAGTTGACATAATAACATAAAATTATATACAATAATATCAGCAACCAATAATTCCACTGAAAGAATGATAAAGCAATCAATATTCGCAATGAATAAGAAAAATTTATACTAAATCTAATGATGAGATAACAACATTTTTTATTGCAAAAAATTAACTGGAACGTAAAATTTATTTATATTAAGCCAAGAATAAAATGGATGACTACAAGTTTTATCTTACTTTCGCAGAATAAATATACTAACATACTTACTAATTTGTTTTTAAAATATATTTACATACTTGCTTTTTTTGTTTTAGATAAACCTGTACGATTTCCAACCATAAGTTTTGCCACTCACTGCCTCAACTCAGTGTTTATGTTAACCGACTTTTTAGTAATCGGATTCCCTATGCGCTTACTGCACACCGTATATGCGATGTTACTGCCAATTTTTTATTGCCTATTTACCGTATTGTATTATTTTTGCGGTGGAGAAGATGAGTAAGTCTAAAAATGCTCCTTATAGGTCTTTACTGCATGCAGTGTAGGGGACTATCAAAGATGTACGATTAGTATTATTCATAGTCAAAGAATAGATCTACAGATATCAACTTACAGATATCAACTTTAGGTGTTGTTTATAATAGAGTAAAATATCAATTTGGGATTTTGACAACGGATATCATTAAATTTCAATTCTTTGTAAAATTTTTTTAATTTTTTTATACGCTAATATGACAATGACAGTGACAATTATAATGACAATTAAAATGACAATTATAATGACAATTATAACGACAATTAAAATGAAAATTATAATGACAATTATAATGACAATTATAATGACAATTAAAATGACAATTATAATGACAATTATAATGATAATTATTATGACAATTATAATGACAATTATAATGACAATTATAATGACAATTATAATGACAATTAAAATGACAATTAAAATGACAATTATAATGACAATTATAATGATAATTATTATGACAATATAATGACAATTATAACGACAATTATAATGACAATTAATATGACAATTATAATGACAATTAAAATGGTAATTATAATGACAAATATAATGACAATTATAATGACAATTATAATGACAAATATAATGACAATTAAAATGACTATTATAATGACAATTATAATGACAATTATTATGACAATTATAATGACAATTAAAATGACAATTATAATGACAATTAAAATGACAATTATAATGACAATTATAATGACAATTATAATGACAATTTTTATGACATTTATAATGACAATTATAATGACAATTATAATGACAATTAAAATGACAATTATAATGACAATTATAATGACAATTATAATGACAATTAAAATGACAATTATAATGACAGTTATAATGATAATTATAATGACAATTATAATGTTTTTTGGATTATTTCATTTCTCGATTCATTTTGTTAATATATATACATATCATTTGCTTCAATAATAAAACCCTAATTGTCATTTTACTATAGGTATAACGCTGAATTCGTTATAATGTAAAAGTTATTACAAAAATTATGGAAATTTTTTTTAGCGATAAGACATATTTTTCATTTGGTGAATATATTTTTCATTCAGTTAACAAGATAGTCACACCTATGTCAGTGAAGATCCACAAGTAGCTGTCGAAAGACAACTTGGTATTTGGTCTAGATGTCTTAAAGGCACATAGTTTCTTGAAACCAGTGAGATTTTGATACGAATCATCAATTGATTACTATAACTCAATTCATTACCAATTTTTTTTGTGATTAATTTAAAATATGGATATGGAAGACACGTGTCTGCAACGAGATAATGCCAAAAGCCCTACAAAACTTTCTGTTTTGGTTTCGCATGTACTAAAATATTCTTGACGCATTATTTCGCGATTAGATAATGTTAATTAGCCTATAAAATCTTACAATTTATTACGGTTGTAGTTTTTATCTTCACGCAAAGAATTGAATTTTTGCAGACAATTCCAAAGTCTTAACAGTTTAAAAATGAACATTCGTCGAGTTATAGTCGAGGTATTGCCAGGATCCAATAATGAAGGATAACCCATTAATAATATTTGATTGATGTTATATTTCATACCTAATAGACAGTCCCTAACGATATATTGAACTAGAAATTTTATTAAACTCTAAATTAACATACAAGTGGGGCTACAAAATTGATTAGCCTTTATTTGAACAGTGATAATTTGGATTTCATCACCGAAGCACAGGAAATTTGTATATTTATATATTTAGTTATTATTTAGTTATTTATATATATTTAGTTTATCAAGTTGTGTTTATATAATTTTGTTTACTAGTGTCACATCATACTTACGCATTTATGTTGTTTCAGATATGGGAATCGTTACGTATATCCGATATTGGACTGGAAATCTCCTAGTAAGGGCATAATAACATTTGCAGGAGTCTTCTCGCTGTACGTGGTTTATTGTTTGATATTATTTTTATTGGACAAACTGAAAAATGTCATTTATTGTGCTTCTCGTGTGGTCTGGAAGCCACATGCAGTAGCTTTATATTAAGAGGCCATCAAGTGTTCAAGGTTTTCTTTTAAATCGAATTTTTTATACCTAACGTATATATTCTCAAGTAAAAGTATTTAAATTGAATTAAATATAAATTGATAAAGCTAAGTGGGTGATAGAATTGTTCCTTTTAATATAAAACAATAATGTTAGTAATTATAATAATTACCATCGGAATCATCATAATTTAGTTATCAAATAAAATATTTATATTTATCGAATAGTGAATAAGATATGCATCTATATATATGTGTTTTTATATTATGAGAAATAAGAACCGAACTATTGTAATACGAAAATTTAAAACCCAAAAATTTAGATTTTTATTGACTAAAATAACAATTTTGAAGATAGAGTTGTAAGTGGTTCTTTACACTGTGTTTACTTCTATATCATTGCTAATAAAATAAATATTCTGAAGTATATCACAAAAATATAACTTGCATATTTTTTATGTCTAAAGAACATTTCGAAAACATTACTTTATATTGACCATTCACCGAGCTTTTCCCTTCGACCTGGTTTTTGTAACAACTAAAAAAGTTCAGATTAGACATAAATACATATAATTTTTTTATTTACTTAGAATATATAAATAATCCGATACGTCTATCAGTTAATAGATACTTACTCTATCTATTAATCTATTAATTTTATTAAACTATTAATATATAATATAGACTAAGGATGCGTTGACTAATACCAGAACAAAAAAAAAGATACTAAGCAGATAAATCGATCCGGGTAGATTGAAAACCTTTTATCAGTTTTTTAACAAGTTTCATGTGATGAAAAAAATTCAGCTGACTTACTATATCCGCGTTACCATCTTTATAGGAATCTATAAGCGAATAAACCATCAAAAAGTTGGTTCTGTAAGTCCCACTATATGAACACCATTCACGTTAAGTTGGATTGTAACTACTATAATTTTCAAGAAAAGATTTGGCAACAAACAAAACAGTTTTACAACCCAATATTTTAGGGATTGAAAGAATTGCACACATACACAGTATGGAGACTACCTTGTTCGTGCAAATTAAATTAGGCTTAAAAATAATTAAGAAAATATGACAATAGAACAATTAAGATCCTTAAATATATATTGCATTATCATGTTTATGACCTTATTAAGTTAGTTTGGCGAAGAAAAAAATGCATTAGTTATTGTTAGGAAGCTCCATAATTATTATGATCAATAAAATTTATTAATTACGGTGGAATATCTCTTCATTTGTAGAAAAAAATATTAGTGTCTGTCAACGCAGTTTTTTGAATAACACATCTATGTATCTTCTTCTTCTGGTTCTTCTAAGTCAGGCAAATTACACTCTTCATTAAATACTTTGTATATATGTCTTCAGTAGAAATGCGGCAGACACTTATAAAGTCAGAGAGCAATTTATCTAGCTAGAATATATGACATGGTTTAAAATAACAGGTCACAACCTTTCTATATTCAATCAGAAATTATATAAGTCAGCATATTTAATAATTCTAACTTTTAGTATTTTAAAGTATTTGACCATCGAACTGCCAGAACTGCTAGAATAAGCTAGAATTTGAATAGTATTTTATTTTAGGTTTTGTTTAATAGATATAGATATATGTTTAATAGATAGATAATAGATATATTTGTAACAACAAATGCTACGATGTTCGACTATATTTGATCTGTTGGCAGCGGTCCGATCATTCTTTCTTGTAAGTATAAGCATATTAGAAAATTTAAATATTTAATTCTTAGAACATTAGATGACAAAATACCGGTAATAAATCCATTTCAACAATCAATGAAGGATAACTAAAATTTAAATTTATAAAAAATTAAATTTTTAGAAGGGTTTTCGAATAACAAAGAAAGAAATAAAGGACAAACACAAAAATTTATTTTTTTAATTTTATTGAATTTTATTGAAATCGTTGAACACAAGTTCAACGAATTGAAAGTTTAACTTTTTGGGTTTGCCTTATTCTTTATTTCTTTTCAAAGCTACTCTTTTTGTAGAGACATATTGTACTGCTTTATTCCAAAATAAAGCTGTAGTTTATAAGCTCGTTCTAATTTAAAGCACGGCAAGTGCTTTGGTTGTTGTCACTAATTAAATAAAAATAAGTGACAATAAAACCTGGAACTTGAGCATTGAAAGTTTGTGCAGCCTTGGCTTCTTGTGGATAAACACGATTAGTCATCGCTTCTAATTTGACAGGCACGAGTTCTAAGCCTGGCACTTGCAGTCCAAACAAATTATATACGGACTATAAACTAATTAAATAAAATTCGATTATTCCAAAGACCACTGATGAAGAGTACTTGGCAATACTCGAAACAGCGTTGTATGGTCAGCCAAATTTCAATAAAATTAAAAAAATAAATTTTTGTGTTTGTCCTTTATTTCTTTCTTTGTTATTCGAAAACCCTTCTAAAAAATTAAATATTAATATAAAAATTTTTATATTGCCCCAAAACATATAGTACATCATACCTACATATTAGAGATAAAAAGTTGGAAATCGATTGTACTAAGAAAATTATAGATAGACATATTTTCACATTGCTTGCTGGTGCCACAAGGTGAGATCTATAAGCAAGATCTTAAATTAGAAATTAAATGATAACATCACAGATCTTTTAATGTATGTGTTTGTGTATTATTTATTATTATATACTCAAAGTTATAAGCACATAAACCAACATTTGTGAAACTAAAAGACTAAATAAGTAGGTCTATCATTAATTAGATCTAGATAATGATTGTAGAGCAATTGTTTCTCTACAGAAAGATCAACGCTTTAAAAACTTTCTCACAATTATCAGACACAAACTCGTTTAAGCATTTATAAGATAAATTCGGAAAACAAGTTGTAAAGATAGCTGACCTTTGTTATCAGTTTTACTTTTTCCCCAACTATTCATCTTAAATTGTTACTTATAAGCTTCTGTTGGAAATGTCTACACTAGACAATTACCCAGCTATTACACATTAGTGACGTACTTACATGTCATGTCTAATCCAATGGTGTTATCAATGAAGACGGAACACTTTTTAGATATGATAACTTTATGCTAAGTATATTAGGTTAGATTGGCGGCCTTGTACAACAAAACCCACTCGAGTATCCATTGTGAAACCATGGAAGAAGACGTTGCTTATATGGCTGTGACTAAAACGGATGTAAAGACCAATGCGCAGACTACCTCGAACAGAATAGGCGCGACTCTATATTAAAAATACTATAATTACCGAATACGTTTTATTAAAAATGTTTGACTTTAATGTAGAAAATCAGTACAACAGTATATTAGTGTACTTAAAATTGCTCTTAAAATTAATGCCATTCATAGTACTTGTATATTTACTCAAGCACCAGCCTTATACTAGCGTTAAATTTGTTAGTGTAGGCATGAAATTTTCATCCTAGAATCAATAGGATAACGAATAGTTTATAACCAGAATAGAAATGACTATAAACAATATTTAAAAATATTAATCTTATAGTAGATATCGGTTACGTTCATAATTTTTTCTTCTCTTTTTTCCATAAACTTTAAGGACTTCAAGCTGGAATTAAGCCGAAAACTAAAAAAAAATTTTGTTTTTGTCGGAGCAAAATTAAAAATCAAACCGACAAAATATATCCGACAAAATATATCCGACAAATGTATATATCGTAAGGTTTGGAATCTACTTTTTGCCAGACATTTTTCTTTCATTGACGAATTTGTTGATGAATATGTATTTTGGAATTATTATCTAACCAAATTATTATAGTCATTATAATTTTATCATCATTATTTAGTTTATAATTTTTTTATTATAATACATAATTTATTATTTAGTCATAAGCGATGTTATGCGTAGCTCAAACAACCAAGTCTTTCAGCTGAAAATTATGCTTTAAAAATATTTGAATTTCATAAGGTATAAGAACCAGATCATATGATTCTGATTGGCCGTTGTCAGGAGAAAGGGTAGGGGGTCGTAAAGAAATAATGTTTATGAAAATTAACGAGAAAAAAATTATTTCTCGTAAAATAGAATTAAATTAAATTTAGGTAAATTTGATTTGATTTAATTTAACATAGTTAATTTAATTTAATTTTATTTATTACTAGCAGAGCCGACAGACTTCGTTCTGTCAAAAAGATTTGGAATGTGGCAGTTTTTTATTCCTACCTATTTTATAATCGGGGCAAAAAAATCTCCTGAACAGAAAAGTCACCCTTGTGTGTGGGTTCGGGTGACGAAAGTATCTTCTCTGTCAAGAACTTTGGCCACCCTTCTGGGATCCACTAAAAAACCCCGACTGGGATGTCTGCGAGAGGGTTTCAAGCTAAGATGCGAACTTAGGGTTCAAACCTGAAGCTGAAAGCAGCTCGATTTAAACTTGCGCGATTATGAGTTGATGTAATTAAACACTTTGCAAAAACACGATATAAAAAGAAAACCTAGTAAAATATTAGTATGTATTTAAATTATTTACAGCTCATATATTAATGACAGTATTTAATTATAATATGTGAAGTTTGAAATATTTGAAACACTGATGATGTTGCTTAGACTACAGTGAGTGTTTGTAATGTAATATACAGCCATAGCCAAAAGTATTTACACAACGAAAGTTTTTGCACATATTGCATAAAAACATGTTTTTATTGTTGTTGTTGGACGTAAGTTGCAAAAAATTTTTTTGTTGTCACTTTGTTTTATCTATGCAGAACTAAATAAAAAAAGAATTGGAAAGATAACTGTTCATTTGACAAAAATATAAGCAACCGCGCTGATGCTTATCAGTTTTCAAAAGTATTTATACACATTTTTTTTGCGTCAAAAGTATTTACACAAAACATTAATAAGCATTTATTCTAGGATTTCCTTTAAGTAAGTGCAGTTGTTAGCTTTTTTCACAAACAGCACAAGTTTAGAGATTTCAAAATTTCAGAAATTATTTACGAAAATGATAAAAACCAAGGAATTATCAATTGAAATTCGATCTGAGATTGGTACTTAATATAAGAGTGGGATTTCGGAGACAAACTTAGTAAAGTTATGCAAAATTTTATATAAAACGGTGTAAAATCTAGTTAAAAATAAGTACATATGCGAAAATTTAAAAAATTTGAAGAGAACTGGGCGGAAACCTCCCATGAATCAAAGGAAATGCAGAAGATTATTAGGAGTAGTCGTAGAAAATCCTACAATAAGTCCTGTCAAAATAGCAGCATCATCGGAAAAGTTGAGTGGCAAGATTATTAGTGATGCTACACTACATCACAGGTTGAAAAATAATAATATCAATACATATGTGGTGCACAAAAGAGGCAATATTACTCTAACGACCTTATCAAATATTCTCTCATTTGTTTTGAAGTATTATAAGTAACCTATATAGTTTTATTACAATGTGTTATGAATAGATGAGTCTGGATTTCAATTCTAGGGTTCATTTGATATCCACTCCATGCATTTACAACAACTCCAAAAGAATAAAGCAGTGCAGCCACTCAATAGATTTGAAGGTGCCATGGTTTTGTTTTGGGGATGTCTATCATGCAATGCATTTGGAGATTTGGTACCGAAAAATGGCACCTTAAATCAGTCCGGTTATATTGGTATTTTGAATAACCATGTCTTAACGTCAGAAAATAGACCTTCTCCAATCAATAACTGGGTTCTACAACATGACAATGCACCATGTCAGCAAGGATGTAGACTTAATCCAATTTTAAAAGAGTTAAATCATGATGTTTTTTATAGCCTGCACAGAGCCCTGATCTTAATGTCATTGAAAATGAATGAAGCTTCATAAAATATCAAAGGACTATTGATAAAAATCCAAAACGAAGTGATAGCATAATTGAAATAGCGAATATTCGGTCCAAACTGATTCGCAATTTGATTGGATCAATTCCAGCTTGGTTGCGGGCAGTTATTGATGCCAAAGGTGGTGTAACCAAACATTAATTATATTAATTAAATAAGCATAAAAATTTTTTTAATAAATTCATCAATTAAAAAGAAGAAAATGAAATTAACGTTTTGTGTAAATACTTTTGACGCAAAAAAAATGTGTATAAATACTTTTGAAAACTGATAAGCATCAGCGCGGTTGCTTATATTTTTGTCAAATGAACAGTTATCTTACCAATTCGCTTTTCATTTGGTTCTGCATAGATAAAACTAAGTGACAACAAAAAAATTTTTTGCAACTTACGTACAACAAAAACAATAAAAACATGTTTTTATGCAATATGTACAAAAATGTTCATTGTGTAAATACTTTTGACTATGACTGTATATTTTATTGAATAGCAACACATTTACCAACACATTTTTCGATTCATTTTTATATATAAGATTATTTATTTTATAATTTTATTTATTATTAATTTTATTTATTTAATTTAGTTTAATTTAATTTAATTTGATTTAAATTAATTTAATTTTTTTTAATTTAATTTTATTGAAGTCAATTTAATTTAATTTAATTTAATATAATTTAATTTCTTTTAAATTAATTTGATTTAATTTAATTTAATTTAATTTAATTTAATTTAATTTAATTTAATTTAATTTAATTTAATTTAATTTAATTTAATTTAATTTGATATAATTTAATTTAATTTAATTTAATTTAATTTAATTTAATTTAATTTAATTTTATTTTATTTTATTATTTTATTTAATAAAATTAAATTAAATTATTTAAAATTTCATTTTATTAAATTAAATTAAATTTAATTTGATTTGACTTGAATTAATTTATTTTAATTTATATTAATTTAATTTAATTTTTTTTTAATTTAATTAAATTTTATTGAATTAAATTAAATTAAATTTGATTTGACTTGAATTGATTTATTTTAATTTATATTAATTTAATTTAATTTAATTTGATTTAATTTTATTTTTTTAAATTTAATTTAATTTTATTAAATTAAATTATATTTAATTTGATTTGACTTGAATTAATTTATTTTAATTTATATTAATTTAATTTAATTTGATTTGATTTAATTTAATTTATATTTTTTTAATTTAATTTAATTGAGGTCAATTTAATTTAATTTAGTTTAATTTATTATAATTTAATTCAATATAATTTAATTTCTTTTAAATTAATTTGATTTAATTTAATTTAATTTAATTTGATTTGATATAATTTAATTTAATTTAATTTGATTTTATTATTTTATTTAATAAAATTAAATTAATTATTTAAAATTTCATTTTTTTAAATTAAATTTAATTTAATTTGATTTGACTTAATTAATTATATTAATATATATAATTTAATATAATTTAATTTAATATTTAATTTAATTTAATTTAATTTAATTTAATTTAATTTAATTTAATTTAATTTAATTTAATTTAATTTGATTTGATTTGATATAGTTTAATTTAATTTAATTTTTATTAATCTAGTTTAATTTCATTCAATTCAATAAAATCTTACTTCAATTTAATTTAATTTAATTAATGAAAATATTAATGTTTCTCTGAAATTTTTTTTGTTCATATTTAAAACAGCGACTTATTTATCAAACCACCCTCGTAAGTTACTACCTGTACCAATGAATATGAAATCACATAATATTTCATTTTTGTTGTTTTTATAGTTAAGTTTTTGGCTCTCTTGAGTTTTTAAAAGTAATTGTTGCAATCTCTTTCCTCTTTCCATTTGTTGTTGTTGTTTTGTGCTTTTATCTTAAGCAATAGCACAAGAGCAATTGCTTAGCTTAATGTGAAAACAAGCAGTGATCAAAGCAGCGTTCACAAACTTCTGTACAAAACGTCATCCCCAAGCATTAATAAAACTTTAACAACTTCAGCCAAAGCTGGCAGCGCTGTTTAAATTCATTTTGCGCTAACGTGGGTACAAGATTAGCAAAGCCAATCTTTGCATTCGCAGTGGCGGTTCAGCCGAAATTAGCAAACGAAGCTTTGCTGTTTGTTGCTGTTTGTTGACTGCACAAAACAGCGAAGACAATATTGTCTCTGCAAGAGGGTCGTGTGATCAGTCATTAAACGGCTGCGACGGTGTTGAGTTCGACCTCGGGAGTCGCGCTTTAAGCTTTGTTATAATAACTGGGCTCTTAGTAAACACTGCGAACTGTGCTTAGTGAATGTGTTTTTTTTGTGTTTCTGGTTTGCACGTTTTTGTTTGTAAAATTTTTGGAATTGCAATAAATTTTGTTTTTTTCGTGTTAAATTGTTTTTGTTTTTTATTTAGTTATTTATTTATTTTTTTTTGATATGTAATTGTTGTTTATCGTTAGTGCCGTTCTCGCTGTGAGTACTGATTTGTAGTAAATTAACGGAACTGCCCTTAATATCGCAATAATTTTAAGGTAAAAAAATGTACTAAAATTGTGAATATCTAAGGAAGTTGAAGAATTAATTATAATTAAATAATTACAAAAAAAAAAAAAATACAAAAGTTGTTTTGTTAATTATATACAAACACACATTTCTAATTGACCAATGACGAAAACTTCAACAACAAGAGCAACAACAACAACAATAACAACAGCAGCAGCAGCAGCAAAAATAATAACTACATGATCAGTAAGAACAACTACAACAACAACAGCGAAACAAAAGCGGTAAGTTGAAAAAAATTGGTTAAAAAAGCTCAGATAAAAAAATTTTAGAGACTCAAGCACGTACACGCATGGACAGGTACTCACTCAGAAGGTATTTGTGCTGAAATTGAATATCAAAAGTTCAAGACAGTCGTAGGCAAATAATAACAAAAATGATAAAATTAAATAAATAAATCATATAATTGAAATTTTAATTGAAAATCCTTTAACAAGTTTTAGTCTTCTCCGTTTGGCATACGTAATTTCATACCTCACCGACGTCCAACTAATTTGAATTGCATACATTTTTCACTGAATTTTTTTTTCTTAAATTTAAGTTCGACTTCTACACCCCACTTCAGGTGATTGCTTCTGGCGAATCTTTCTAGAAAAGATAAAAAATAAGAATTTATGTCATGAAGACAGCGACAAGCCAGATAATGTCACAGCATTCTGTCTTCAGTCGAGTGTTGTTGTTGTTGTTGCTGCTGCTTCAGTTTACCTGATTACAATATTTGCTTTTGCTTAAATGATCGCCAAGGGGTGTATTCGTAAGATATAATGCCTAAAAAATTGCAAAGAAATGTTTGCTTGACAATATTTTTATTTTAAATACGAATCTTACATGAGTCATTCTTAAACAAATTTCTTTCCAGTCCAGTTCATTCTTATCAAAATCTAATAATTCACAAAATAATCATTCTTAAATATTCTTAATGAAAAAAATACAAGCAATAGTAGTAAATAGAAAGAGGGAGAAACGAGTCCTTCTCAAATTACTAAAAAATCCGTTTTGAATCCACAAATCCTCGTAATAGTGTGTAGTAGAGAGAAGGCCAAGGTACAACCAGCCAGAAACATTTATAAAGGCAAAAATTTGGCCAATGCTAAAGCTAGAGATATCGCTAAGAGTGTTGAAGAAGGGAACCCCCAGAAACTAAAGCTTAGTTTTGGCCAATCCTGGACATAGACGCATCAAGTGTTCTGGTGTCCTTTCTTCTAGAATAGAAAGAGATAAATAATAATATAATAAAAAAAAAAAAATTTATTTGTTTATTATTTGAATTTTTATGTGACCATATCGTGGTTTCGGGTATTACCAAATGAACAGCATCGATGATCTTCAGAAATATTCCTTTTATATAATTAATCGAAAATAATTTAGTACCCTGCTAAGTCTACTCAGTAGGAGTCAGCATTTATTAACCAACAGGTCGAAAATAAACATAGCAATATCTTACTTAAATTCTTACATTGTAACACAACAGGTCAATAGATCGAATTGAATTCTTAAGATTGCGCTTATAACTTAAGTTATATCGCAAACAATCTGCAAGCATGTTTAAAGGTTTTGCATATTGTGAAATTCAACGGTCGTTTTTGAAAATGCAAAGACGGAGTGGTGACGGGGAGTGGAAGACAAAGAACCCATTAAATGATAGAATTAAACAAAATTGTGATTTTTTGCTTCAACTTTATAATAATTTTTTTTATATTTTATTTATCTACGAGAAACTAATGGAAGTAATTATCATAGTTGCCTTTTGAGGATAATTTCACTCCAACGGAAGAGATCATACTAGAGATCGAAACAAATCTGATCAGAAATGGTTATTGAGACACATTTAAAAGAGGGTTTTGAGAAGGTGATTTGAATGTGATATGAAAACATTTAATTACAAATATTAATTATATCTAGTGATGTATAGTACAAAATATTTTCGAGGGAATTTGAGTACCACTGTTTATTTTATTATATTTATTGTTTAAAAAATTAAACTCAAAGCAAAATAAAAATTTGATGTGATCCATATATATAGGTATATCTAACTTGCATACTCATATACATGTTATTTTGCACATCTTTTCTTAGGTTATACGATAGTTAGACTATCGAATCTTTTCGGAAATATATACAATTCACATTCTTTGTATATAAGTGACTTAAGACATTTATATAAATATGTAATGTGTTAATTCCACTATAGCTCTACTATAAGTATATAGTTATAGTTAGACTACTATATCAATTTATTGGTTAAACTTGTAAACCTAATATTGAAATATAAACGACTCTGTATTAAATTTATTAGGTGTCGAAAAAACCAAGGGCATTTGGTTAGTTAAAAATTATTTTTAAAGACTATTGACTGACTTGTATTATTATTAGCTGATCGAAAACAAAGCGTATCTGATGTGTCGACTCTCTTTGAATATTGCTCGGTGTCTATTATATTTTATTATGTTTAGTTGATTGATAGCCAAAAAAATGTCATAACATATGTAAAATTTTTTATAGTTAATAATAGTTGCAACAGGGCCACAACAAAATATTTGAACTTGAAATGTTTATTATTTTTTTTTCGTTTTGCTATGTCACTATAGCTCGGTTATCGAACTTTTTGGTCGTGATCGGGAATACCCCTATTAAGTTTATGCCGGCACCATACATTTGAATTAATATTTCAATAATAGACTAACACATATTTAATAGAAATAAAAATAAATATACATAGTTTTTTTCAATTAAAATAAAATATTTTATAACTGCTTTTTTTTATGATTTCTACTAAGTACAGTACAAGGTTTTCATAACATCATTGTTTATAATTGACTATAATTATTTTATTCATTCAAAAATACTTAGCCATTGCTTTATAATTTTAATTGTAAATGTATTTAACGTTATGCCATTTACAATGATGTTCGTAGCGCTATAGAAGTTAATTAAGATATTGGTTAATTTATGCTGGTAAATCTGGGTTAATTTGTTCAATCGAGATTCACTTTTACTGCAGTCCACATTTTCGATTGGTAGATCTCGAGCGAGTTCAGATCCAGTGTAAAACTTTGGGAATTAATTTATAACACTCTGCATATATTACCAGAGTAGCAAAATTACTGTGAAAGTAACATATTTTATATGACTTGACAAATAAAATGTGATTGGATTCTATATATGTATTTAAAAAAAAAAAAAATATATATCTCTATTAGAACTATTACAAAAATGTTAGATTACTTTTAAAATATTCGATTGGGTAACAAAATTTGACACATCGAAAGTAAGTCTATATTGAATCTAGATAACATAACTCACATTGGTTTACCTACTTTCTTCAGTTCCATCATAAATTAAAGTATCGTGTATTTATTTTATTCCTATTTAAAGTAATATTTCTATAAACCATATGTTTTTCAAAATACCAAGAAAAATTGGATATTCTCTCCAATACAAAACATTTGACCTATAGTTGTGGTTAGTGACAGAGGTGATTGAGAGCTTATAATTGATTACAAATAGTTTAATTCACCTGATGGACTATCTTTAGAAAATTTTTAAAACTGATTATAATTAAATAAATTGAAGAGATTTTTAGAACAGTAGTGAACTAGAGCAACAAAAATTAATTTTATATTATTTTAATTAATTGAATTTTTTGGCTGACCATACAGCTGTTTCGAGTATTGTCAAATACTCAACATCAGTGGTTTTGGAAATAATTATCAGGAATCGAACTCGTACGCTGTCAAATTTGAAGCTCAGAGTCAGCGCTCTTTAACCAACTTTTTTATGTTTAGTTGTGGAATAATTGAATTGATCAATCATATTTTTATTTTTAATTGGTAGATTTCAATACTGTTCTGTTTGTATTATATTATTGGTTTAATATTATAGTAAATTAAAATTAAAAGAAGTTAAAAATTAAGAATAAGTTGTATAGAAGTTGTATATTTTAAATATGAGGTGAAAAAAACCAAATATTGAGAAAAGTAGATGTATATTACTTCTTTATATGATTTAATATTTTTGATATAATTAAGTTTATTTTATAACCGAATTATTTCATTTAAATACCATTCCTAACTACCTTATCAAAATGCTTAGATTTTACTACATTAAACCATAATTTTTTTCCTCTATTGCCTATATAGTTAATATAAATTTTATAAATGTCTTGTTGGGATCTTGTAAGAACTTTTTGTATCATCATTATCACCATATAAGGCATCAGTCAATTAAGAAATCAGATGATGTACGTAGGCAATATCCAATTACTACACAAAATTTTATCTATCATAGATCAGATGGAGACAAATAATTTATATAATATTTTACATGTTTTTTTTTATTATCATTAAAATAAAAATAATTTATTTGTCGTTGTTTAAGAAAAAAACTCCATAAAGCTCAGATCTGATGTTTATTTCATTTAGAAAGAACAAATTAACTTCGATTATAAAACAAATACTTTTGATCATTATTACTTCAATTGAATCACTTAATTTTTTTTAAAAGTAATGTAGATCCATTCTTTGTTGACTGCACGTTTAAGAGTTTAAATTTAGATAAAGAAATAAAAATATTTAACCATAAATTCAGGAAACCACAAGTTACTTCAATGTATGATCCATAACTTTACTACGTCATCAAACTAAATAATGTTAGCTGAAATTAGTCAGCACATGTGGGTATATGTTTCAAGTATCTTGAATGGAATTCAAAATTCAAGTGAAGTAAAAAACAAATTAATCGCCTTAAGTTAACATGAAAACATACTTATGAGGTCAATTAGCACTAAAAAAACAAGATAATGCTTTATTCATTTTTTCAGATATGAATCTATGTTTTAAAATTAGTTTTAAAGTAAATACTCAAAAAATGTGGCAAGTTAACTTCTTCTAGTAAAAATTCGAATATATTCTATATATAGCAAATTCTAGTGAAACAGCAAAGTCAGTTTTTATTATTAGTGCAATCTTTAAAAATACATAGAGACACATAATGTTGATTCGAAACATAATGTTAAATTCGTTTCCACTGCAAACATTTGACTGATGTGCAGTCAAGACAAATTCAAGTCACCGCAAAGGGTCTTTAAGTTCTGAGATAATGTACGGTAAAACTGAGGCTGAAATTAATCACACGTTTCAAAGAAAAAAATAACTTAAATAAAAAAGCGTAACCGTATTAGTAGTTAAAAGCAGATCAAACTAGAACCAGCCAAAAGCATTAATAA